GCTTTTAGTTATTATGCCGCCCGCAGTTGGAATCAGCTTCCAGAAGAGATCAGATGTGCTAAAACATTAGTCACATTTAAATGCAGACTCAAAACTCATCTGTTTAGCTGTGCATTTATTGAATGAGCACTGTGCAATGTCCGAACTGATTGCACTATATTTTATGTATAATCATTTTCTATTCTTAACTGTTTTAAATTCATTTTAAACCTCTTAAATCAATTTTTAAATCATTTTCAAAGTTTTGAATTCCTTGTTTTATTGTTGTGATTATTTTATTATTTTTATTTTTTTTTCATTTCTTTTATGTAAAGCACTTTGAATTACCATTGTGTATGAAATGTGCTATATAAATAAACTTGCCTTGTCTTGCCTTGCCTAAATAACCAAAAATAAAAACGTCTGTTTTAATTAAAAATGTGCTTGCGGTTAAATAAATTGTGCTGAAGAAAGTACTAATTATCTTACATGAGCATCAGCATCATGGAGGAAGTTGGCACAGTCATGATAGCCATTGTATTCTGCCAGATCCACTGCAGTAAACCCATCGGAATCTCTCTCCAGCGGACTGATGTGATTATTCAGCAGTACTCGGCAGCACTGAGGGAACGAGAGATTAGAGCTGTCATTCAAAACCTCTGTGAAAGCATTTCGAACTTCTTAAACTGTAAAATCCTCTGAGCGTTCATGGAAAGGATTTGTGATTGGAACTGAAGGAACAGTGACAGACACCTCTAGTTCTCCATTCTCCGCTGCATCATGCAGGGGGGTCCCACCCCAGAGGTCTTTCAGGACCTTTGCTCCCATCAGTAAAAGACGCTCCACAATACGATGGTGGCCCTCGCTAGTGGCGAAATGCAGTGCTGTGGCTCCACCGTTATCCTGACAGGACAGATCCAGATCTGTGAAGGAGGCCTGAAGAATCATATCAGAGACAGAATTAGAGTTAGCTCTTATATAATACTTACATTTATTTAATAAAACCTGAGTGACAGAAGCAGCTGTAACTCACCAGCCAGACCACCAGGGCATAGTGTCCCATGTGGGCAGCTGCATGCAACACACTCATGCCATCTTTGGCCTGCACATGGACGTTTGCACCGCAGTCCTTCACCAGGTATTCAACCACATGCAGATGCCCCTCCTGACAGGCCAGATACAGTGGAGTGGCCCCAGTTCCTGTCTGGCAGTCCACACACCTGTACCAATAATACATTTTAGACTTTGCATGTATAGACTAACATAACATAATCTCCTTTTAAGTCTACATTAATTAACAAGCCACGTTATGTTTACAGCTCTTTTCAGTGGTGTCAGGTATGTTTATATGCACTAATTTTGATTTCAGATTCTGAAAGTTCTATTTATATGATCCCTAAACTTTACAACCCAATTCACATATATGCATTAAATGTATTCCAAACAAAACTTCAGTGTGTGCATAGTGCACAGTTAGTTGCTATATTCAGAACTGAAGAAAGCCACCACGATAATGTCACAGAGTTACCATGAGTATAAGTGTCATTTTTGCCTTTATGATACAACTAAAAAGAAACCTTACACATATGCTGGAATAGCTATTTTAGCAAATGTTTAGTAAATACTGAGTCTCCTCCACTGACCAGTTTATAAGATGACAATAAAGTTCGTAAAGTTCGTAAAGACACATTCGTGAAGTTGTGTTCACACTAGATGTTGAAGCATGCAAACTTTCTACTGACACTGCAAAAGTTGTAATATATCACATTTATATCAATATGTCACACTCTGTGGCATTTTTTTATATATATAACATCCAAAATGTAGAATATGTACAATCTACAGCACTTTATACTGCAATTTTACAGATTTAAAGTTAACATTCTTTTAAATCAGCTAAGAGGTCTGCTGATCTTTTACTGGTCACATGTCTCCATGTGATGTGAATTCACTGGTCAGATTTCACCAAACTTGCTTTATGGTACACAGCAAAATTCGTAAAAAAAAAAACAAAAAAAAGTGCATGTAACGAAAAGTGTAGTGTTACCGGCCCTTAAGATGTAAGACAATATCAATATGTCACACTCTGTGGCATTTTTTTATATATATAACATCCAAAATGTAGAATATGTACAATCTACAGCACTTTATACTGCAATTTTACAGATTTAAAGTTAACATGCTTTTAAATCAGCTAAGAGGTCTGCTGATCTTTTACTGGTCACATGTCTCCACGTGATGTGAATTCACTGGTCAGATTTCACCAAACTTGCTTTATGGTACACAGCAAAATTCGTAAAAAAAAATAAAAAAAAAAGTGCATGTAACGAAAAGTGTAGTGTTACCGGCCCTTAAGATGTAAGACATATGCAAATATAAAGATGGGAACACTGCACATGTGCAAAAGGTATTTTTTAATCCGATTGAGAAAATAGTCAGTATTTTAAATCCAATTGAGAAAATAGACAGAATCAAGCATTTATATGCTTAATTAATCAAATTATTTCACATCTACACCCAGGGCCGCATTAACCATTGGGCTAGGCGGGGCTGAAGCCCTGGGGCCCGAGCAAGGAGGGGGCCCGTGATTGGCTGTGGCGTAGACTGACGGACATCGGTAGTTTTCTGTAAATTCCATGCATTACCATTAGAAATTAAAACGTCACATTTGGGGCCCGAGCAAGGAGGGGGCCCGTGATTGGCTGTGGAGTAGACTGACGGACATCGGTAGTTTTCTGTAAATTCCATGCATTACCATTAGAAATTAAAACGTCACATTTGAATTTGTTTTTCCAATCAAATGCATGTATTATATATTTTACTTTTGAACAAACTGTGCACGTAGCCTATCTATCAGGTGATCGCTGCACCTAATGTCTGCATTCACCTCTCTTCACTTCATTCTGGTGTAATCTAGAAATGGTCATGCAAAGAACAATCTTCGATAAGTAAAAATGTCAACTATTCTAAAAAAAAAAAAAACAGTGAGAGAAAAAAATTCAGGTGATCGCTGCCCCTAATGTCTGCATTCACCTCTCTTCACTTCATTCTGGTGTAATCTAGAAATGGTCATGCAAAGAACAATCTTCGATAAGTAAAAATGTCAACTATTCTAAAAAAAAAAAAAACAGTGAGAGAAAAAAATTAGGAGAGAGGGGAAAACTAAGAGTTATTTTTCATGCCTTGTGTTTAAATGTTCGAATACACATAGTTATGAGTCAAAATGCCTGTCTCCTCGTCAACACAGTTATTTGTGTCTTAAATGTACGTTAATAGTTAAAGATAAAGCATGTGCACTAGTTGGCTATTATGCGATCCTGGAATTATATGATGAGATTTTAAAGAGATATTCACCCAAAAATTGTAATACTGTCATCATTTACTGTATGAATTTCGTTGTTCTCCTCAACATAAAAGAAGATATTTTGAAGAATATTCGTAACCACCAGAAAGTTTCTGGTCCCTGTTGACTTCAATAGTGTTTTTCTCTCTCTCCATACTATGGAAGTCATGGGGCACAGACACTGTTTGGTTACCAGTATTGTTCCAAATACATACGTTTGCATTCAACATCAGAATGAAACTCATTCAGGTTTAGAACAACAACAATATAACTTTAATTTTTGGGTGAACTATTCCTCCAAAGCAGCCTAATATAGCTGCTCTTGCCATTTGTGTCAATAATGTAAATTAAACATTAGAAAGAAAATTTATATTTGTAAAATAATGTATATTGAATTTATACAGTGAAGACTATTCAGTCTATTTGTAGTCTATTTATTTTATACAATATATTTCTTATTCAGTGCTTTAAGTGTTTGTAGGTCAATTTATTTGTTCTGTTGTAATTCATGACTGTTTACTTGTCTTCAGTAAGTTTGTTTTTACATAGGCTAGTATTTTTATTTTTTTTTGAGATATTGGAATTGGTAACAAGAATTATGAAACTTTGATTGGATAAAAAGCCTATGTTAAGCTATATCATTATTGTGACGGGGGGCCCTGCAGTAAGTCATAGCCCCGGGGCCCATTGAGGTCTTAATGCGGCCCTGCCTACACCACCCCTTCCAATCCCATCAAAATTTCAGTAAGACCGATTGAGGTGTTTACAAGAAGGCTCTTCAATCCGATTGAGCCATCATTCCAATTTCTTATGGATTATTTGGTTGCGTTTTAATGTATCGTAAGAGGTATAAGCTCTATTGCATCACAAAGTAGAAGTTGGTAGCAGTGCAGAATAGATGTACAATAAATGCACAGGTGGCGACATGTGGCAGGCAAGTGGTTCCTCATGTATTATAGAGGACAGAGCCCAGATGGCAAGTTTGACGTGTCAGATGACTTTTCCCCAGCCTCCCTGATGAGCAGCAGTTCTCAATAAATGGCAATGTGACAGCATTGGTGCATCTAATATTAGCGACACAGTTCATTCAGATGGTTCATGTAAGTGAACTGAACAAAAAAAAGATTCACCTCTTTTTTTATTTATATGCTGCTGCTTTACTATGTTTTCGACTCGTATAAACAAATGAAATTATATTATTTTAGTTAATATTTAGCATTTTTATCTGTTTAAGTTTGATGTTCATGAGATTCTAAACACCCTCATTACAGTATTTTTGTGTCTTAAAGGGATCATTCAATAATTGACAAATAGAAGTTCTGTCATTACTCATGTCATTTCAACCCTGTATGACTTTTCTGCAGAACACAAAAGAAGATATTCTTAAGAATGTTGGTTACCAAACAGTTGCCATTGGCTTCCATTGTATGGAGAGAATTTTTATTTTTTATTTTTTATTTTTAAGTGTTCCACAGAAGAAATAAAGTCATACGGGTTTGGAATGAAATGAAGGTGAGTAAATGATGACAGAATTTTCATTTTAGGGTGAACTACACCTTTAAATTGCTTAAACATAGTTCTATCATGACAACTCAGAAGATTTAAGCATGGTAATGTATATGACCGTGTTAATGTATTTGGTCTTGGTGGAATAGATCTGCTACACTGCTGAATTGCTGCTGCTGTTGGTTATTGCTGTTGTTGAAGATTATTGCTGCTGCTGCTTCAAAGCAAGTACAGGAGCGTGCTACTGCCAGCACATATGCCAATACGGTACTGTGAGTATTTAAGACATACTGCTGCTGCACAAATAGCATATAAATTAACCCGTAGCAGATCTATACAGGTGGAGCTGGGGAAGGTGGAGGATTTCAGAGGATCTCTGAAAGCGCGCTGCAAAATGCTCTAGTGCAGTTGTTCCCAACCACATTCCTGGAGGCCCCCCAACACTGCACATTTTGCATGTCTCCCTAATCAAACACACCTGATTCAAGTCATCAGCTTATTAGTAGAGACTCCAAGACCTGAAATGGGTGTCAGACAAAGAAGACATGCAAAATGTGCAGTGTTGGAGGGGCCCCAGGACCGTGGTTGGGAACCACTGCTCTAGTGCAGTGGTTTTCAAACCTCTCCATGAAGTACCCCCAGCACTGCACTGTATCTGACACACCCACTTCAGGTCTTGCAGTCTCCACTAATGAGCTGATGAGTTGAATCAGGTGTAATAGATGAGGAAGACATACAAAACGTGCAGGGCTGGGATTGGTTACTCCAGGATTGGTTTGAGAATCACTGATCTAGTGAATGCTAACCAGCTATTTAAATGTAAAGCAACAAGCTCATCGGCTGCGAATGCAATATGAACCAATCAGCTAGTGCCAAGTTGTTTAATGCTGTGAATTATCAGTTTGCGTTAAGAACCCATCAGTCTGCACCATCTCGAGTTTCATGACTAGAACTTGCCATTTATGTACTTTTTGTTGGTAATTTGCAGCCAGTCCCTTTTTAAAAAAAAAAGCAGTTCAACTACTTGAAATGATGAGTAGCTTCTAACTTGACAAGCTAGAGGTTAAAAGTACACTGGTCATGTGAAATGTACTGTAAAGTAGTGTTTAGCCAATGAGGGATGGTGTAACAGTCTGTGAGCCTCACCGTGGGGAGCAGGACATGAGCAGTTTGAGGGAAGTGAGGTCTCCGCTGGCTGCAGCGTAATGGACAGGTCGAGCTCCACAATCTGTCTCTGCCTCTGTGCTTCCTCCCTCAAACAACAGCCACTCTACTGCCTCCGCATGGCCAAACCGGGCAGCCAGGTGCAGGGCCATCGCTCCCTCGCCATCACGATCCTGTAGGCCAGAGACGGACACAAAGACAGCATCCAAAACCTAGTTTGAAGGCGTCTGAATCATGGGCATAGTTAGTAGTACATCACAATGACCTTTCAATACACAGTACTGATGCGCTATTATGCTGTCAGTGATATTAATAAAAGAGGTGCTTCTTTACTCACATTGTACATCCATCATCAATGACCTGTGTAATTGACATTTAAGGGAACTGACACAGCAGCCTATCCTCAAGAACACCATCAATCCAGCTGTCAAATGTCATTTTTCTCTCGATATATCATGGCACTCACCTCAATCCCACACTTCCTCTGTCTCAGCAGCCACTGCAGCTCCCGCACGTGCCCGGTGGCAGCAGCATCATGGGCGGCTGTGGCGCCATTCTTCGTACGGGTGTGGCAGGGGAAACAACCTTCATTCACCAGAAACTCCAGGCAGTCCAGTTGCCCACAGCGGGCAGCATGGTGGACGGGAGAAGCTCCCTGGGCATCTGTGATGGTCGGACTGAGATATCCGGACACATGCAAGGCCCTCAGAGCCTCCACATCCCCCTCTCGAGCTGCCTGAATGGCTCTGTGGAGCACCATGCTAGACCTCAGCCAGTCAGAACAAAAGTGGCAGGGGTCCTTGGGCTAAACCCAACTATCTCTCTCGGCTCTCGCTCCCTCTCTAAAATGATACCTGAGCTTGCTGACAGATGTCCATGGGAGAGATGAAGGGGGTGTATAAGCACTGAGCCAGAAATGTAATGAGAGCCCTCATGTGAAAACATACATCTGATTATATTCCCTGATACTATAACAAAATATTACTTTGAAAAGTTAGAAAGACCGCAAGTGATCAAGGAAGCTGGAAGTAATTTTTGACTAAAATGTTTTTTTTTTTTTCATAAATGATGCAAGAGTGATCATATTTAGAATTTATTTATATCATATATTTAGATATATTTAGATCATTTAGATCAGAGATGCCAAAACCAGGTTTTGTGAATTATTTTTTAGTGGGTTCATTTACATGAATCATCCAAAGAATGAATTAGACTTTCACTATATCATAGAAAGAATAGTTTAGGATGAATCGATCTGTTAGAATCTTCTTTCTTTGGAAGATTATTTCCGCCACAAAAAAAGTAATGCTTTGATAAATCCTAACTATGAGATACCAAGTCAAGAATTTGAGATACTAAGTTATAATTATGAGACAGAAAAGTCAAAATGTAAAAATCCCAGTTTATATTCCCTACTTTTAAAAGTTAGAAAGACCATAAGTGATCAAAGAAGCAGGTAGATGTAGTTTTTGTCCGAAAATAGTGCAAGACTGATTCATATTTTAAATTGCTTTATCTGGAGATGCCAGAACTGAAAGACATTTCATTGGCACCTTGCTAGGAAAACACCATGTAAGAGGTTTGCATACAGATGTTCTATTACAATATCTATAGTGTATTTTAAATGACTAACTCGTTTAGATCAGAGATGCTCAAACTAGGCCTGTGAGCTAAAGTTGGCCTGTGATGACCTTTGATTTGGAGCAGGGTTATTATAATGCTACAACTAAGACCATAAAAAAAGTTTTACACAGTTTTTATAAACATTGACTGAAATATTTTAATTTCTAATTAATCTTTTTATTTATTTTTTTGTTGTTGTTGTATTTTAGCATTTAAATGTATAGAGTATCAATGAAAAGTTAATTCGATTAAAAAAAATTGAATAGAATAGGGTTGGATATAATGCAGCATTTACTTGTGGCTCATGGCCATAAATCAGTTTTTGGCCATAGTAAAAAGTTTGGGCACCTTCGTCTGATTTAGATTTTAAAAAAAAAGAAGTCCAGAGTCGAGCAACATTGCGCATATTTCACATTTATTTCACACCTGACAAAGTGTTAAGTGTCCACAGACATTAGAAGACACAGGTCCAACACTCAAAGAACTTGAGCACAGAGTACACTACAGCCCATTCATTATGGTATAAAGTGGTTACAGCCGTGTGCTAGACCACACTTAGGTTTATATACAGAGCAAATCAACAGAAATATTGAAGCAAATACAGTAGGTACACGTAGTTTATATTAACTTCCTTCTTTTTTAAATTTGGAATATTTGGATGGATGAAAGATGTTTATTTGAAACGATGCTTGGAAAGACGTGGTAACACAGGATCCATTGAGAGTAAAAGAGAGACACATTATCAACTACAAACCTTAAAAATCTTGTTTATCTGCAATAGATATATAAGTTGACAAAGTCCTCTTGAATGCTTTGTTTTCAGGGCACCGTGTCAATGCGAACACCACATGCTCATAGTCAACTGTGATCCTTCAATTCGGTAAAATAATATGACTGAATCTATTATTTTTATGTGAATGCTACTCTTATACTGTATGGAGATAAATGAGATACGTTTGATACATTTCATTTAAAAGCTGAATAAATATGTACAGCATGCTATCATATACATAGCATTATCAAAGACAGGAATGGATAAAAAAACGTCAGGGCACTGGGACATATTACTGTCAACATATTGTCCAAAACCAAAATGTCTCTCTCTAATTTACATTTCAGATCCGTAGTCCATGTAAGAGTCTATCAAGGCATACTTATACTGCTGCTTATGAAGAAACCATTTTGAGAGGTAAGGACCAGAACTGCTGAACTCTCTCAGACACGTTCACAACTAGAAGTTGCTGCTACGTTTGTGCTCTTTGGGTTGGCTGGCCCATGGCACAAAACATCAATCCTCTTTCAGGATATCTAGAACAGCAACATGAGCAACATGCTAAATGGCTGTCTGACCAATAGCATGAGCTCGAACCAAGCCAAATGAGAGATTTATGAATTCATACACGGCCTCAGGTAATACCTCACCAAAGTAATTTTTTTTATACTTTGTATACACTGTCTTCATAGTTTCAAGGCAAAGGGTGGAGCAAAAACAAGGTGTATATGCTTATTATAACTGATTCATCTCACAAAAAAATGAATGGCTCTAATTAAAAAAATCTGTACTATATTGGTGATAACAAAACATTTGGTAAAAGCCATCAGAATTTATTGACCTTATGTTATATCTTGGAACACTAAAACTGGATCTTCTCTTACAAGACTTGATCTTATTGCTGCTTCACTAGGAAACACCATGTAAGAGGTTTGAATGCAGATATTCAGTATATTATAACATTTAAGGCTGGGTTGAGCTGAACATAGCAGTTACAAATGAGGAACTATGCAATTAAGATACAGCATTTTTAAACTTAAACTTCCTGCCTAATATTATTTGAAAAATGTAATGTTACCGAAATAAAATCTCCCTCATTTAATGTGCTCTGATGTATTTTCATTCAGTAAAAGGTCATTTAGCGTCACAGCTCCAATTTTTTGTGCAAAAAATGAAAAGTTGTAAATGAAGAACGATTAAAGAAGCTGATTCTCTTAGCAGCAGCGTCCTTGTGCAAATGAACCTAAATGCACCTGGTAAATAAAGCTCATTATCAAAAGTTGAAAGGTGAAGGTGAAAAATTATTTTTTGTAGCGCATTACAAATAGTGACCTCTTAATAAATTGTTTATAAAACATACAATGCTTAATAAATAAGTAAACATAGTAAAAATGACATTACAAATGAAAATAAAAACACAAAATAAACCTGCATGGTAGACATTTTGCACTTTTCCGATGCTGATTTTTGTTGAAATAATGGACATTTTACCTCTTTTTTAGTCTAAAATCAATAGCAAACTTCTGTCATCCACTGCATAAAAGGTGACTTCCAAATAAGCTATGCATCCAGTCAAAAATCACAATGATCATGGTAGAATGAACAAAACCAAGAGGCAGCTACTGAAGCCCAGGTAAAAGCACTTGACATCTACTCTGCAGAAGCACATACACAAACAGAGCGTCGAGTCACATTTATAAATGAACTAAGAGAAGGGCCGTGTTTAAGATGCTGTTTTGCCATTCTAGCTTTTAGCTATGTTAGAGGGAAGTTCTGAATATATTTCATTGTTGTAAATTTACACTAAATATGGCCTGACACACACACATAAACACACACAGACACACACTCTGTGAAGCCAGGCCCACAGTCTATGGTTGGCATGGACAGACTGAGAGGGGAATGCTGGGAAGGGCAGGCAAGAGGCAGCTGTGATGACACGGGGATAGGGCACTTATGATCACATGACCTAATTACATCATAACGGCCTGTTAGCTATCTGCTTATGGTTTCAGCCAGAGAAAAACACTTTCACATCCTCATCTGTCCTGATTTTCGTCTGGAAAGCTTAGACCTGTGGGTAGAGAGCGAGATTAGGAGAAATTCAGCGATATCATTGATCATGAACAGTTACGGCAGTGGTTCTCAACCGCTGAGCTGCAGCCCAAAAAATGGTTCAAAGTCTGTTTTGACATCGAAGACCTTTGGTCTAGTCTAACTTCATGACATTTTGGATCAAATTATTGGTAGAATTAGGCAGATGCCAACACAACAGTGTTATCGGAGTATTATTTATACACTATTATAGTATTTCTTCATATTTTGAATCAGCTTTTATTTGTATATTTTCATTTAAATTTTAGTTTTAATTTGAGTTCATTTGAAATATGTGACATAACCGAAAATAAAATCTCCCTCATCCAATGATTCAAATTAAAATATGCTGATGTATTTGCGTTTTGTAGCATACTAAAAAAATAGTGACCTCTTAATTTATTATGTTTATAAAACACAATACAATGCTTAAGAAATAAGTAAATGTAAAGATGTAATGTAAAAAAGACATTATAGATGAAAAGAAAAGAAAATAAACTTCTGTATGGTTTTTGTTGAGCTTTTTTATTTTTTATCTAATATTTATATTTTATTTTATTTCAGCTTTATTTTAATCAAATTATTTTAAATCATTTTAATTATTTGAACGAAAACTATGTTAGCTAACAATATCAAAACTAGTGTTCAACACAGACAGGTTGCATGCAATGTGATAAAATATAACAAAATTAAATTCAAATAAAAAGTGGCTAGTTTGTTGCAACCACAGTTTTTGTGTGGTGAATTACTGGCTTAACAGATAAAATCAAATCAAATAAAAAATCTAATCAAATCTAAGCTTTCACTATTCTTATGTCTCTCCCTGTTTCTACTTAATGTCCAATGTAAAATCTGGATCCTAAAGCAAAACCAGTTGAGAAGCACAGACCTAAAGTATTTCTTAAAATGAAAACGAGTCCACTATTGAATGAAGCCTTTATTATGTGTTATGTGATATTGTGCAAAAGGACATTAAATCACTGAATAGTCTGTGCAGGCTGAATTTATTTTGAATACCTGATAGTTCCTGCCAGCAGTGGGTTGAATGCGTACAGCCAGTCATGCATCTCTTTGTCATTGGCTGCTTGGAGGAGAATGTTGCGGTGCTCAGTGCACACTGCAAAAGTGTTAGGAGCCTGGAAACCAAACATCACATTGGTTAACAAAATCAGTAGACAGCTATTGCTAGCAGAACTCTTTACTCCGTAATCATGTGTATAATGTCATTGGATGAGGTATAAATAAATGGCCTCACCCTGAGCATGGCCTGCTGATCTTCGCTGTACTCCACCTGAGCAGAGGACAGGTTGATGATGGCTCTCTCCACGCAGTCTCTCTCACTGCGGTACAGGTAGACATATGGCCGCCGCACCACAATGTAACGCTTAACCCAGCCACTGGTGTGTGGCTCGAGAAAGTGTAGATAGCCTTTCTTTGACA